CCCCAAAACCCCAAAACCCCAAAACCCCAAAACCCCGAGTAGTGTTAATTTCTGATAAAAGTGTGAATAAAATAATTAATATATTTTCTCTTAAATAATCAACCAAAATTGTGATGAATTTCATTTTAATTTGACAATATTTGCCAAGAAATCTTCTTATTCAAGGATTATATTTCTGATCTGGATGAAGTTTATCTAGAAGTTTTCTGAGTTTACCCATACTATCAATATAACTAGCTTAACCAGCTTTTTAAATGATATATCTGGGAATAGAACCTCTAAAATCAAACTCAGTGATATAAGTCATCTTGCAGCACTTTCCTTCGTTTAGGGGTTCTATGGCATACGAGCCTGATCTAGTGTCAACTCTGATTATTTTTGGAATTTCAGGATGATCTGGGTGCTAAGTTAGCTTAGAAGCAAGGTATATAGTGCCATCTTCACTCTACCAGCCTTGGAATAAGAGAAGGAGGTCTCTGTTGCCAAGTGGCCATTGCTATTTAAGTCGAACATAGTATATATAGGTTTCCATTCCGAAGTCCTTGACTTTATTTATACTTTCGAAATTCTATCCATCCCACATTACCCTCAAATCAATGTTTCTTAAGAATTCAATGACTACATCTGGTGGATAATCAAATCGGGCCTCACCTCTGAAGGCCACTAAGGTTTTATTTCCTTCTCTCACATATAAATCAACTTTATTGTAAGTTTTCTCAAATAGCCATCCATCAGGCTTAATAAGTTCCATCAACTCATGCATCGCAACCATTCCTTCTCTAATGTACTCTGAGGTAAAATTGATTATTTAAAAGTTATCTTACTTCTATTCTCTTTAACTTTGATAGTGTTAATTTAAAGATAATAGTCTTCCAAGGGATCACCAGTTTTTTCATAAACTCTATGACTATCATCCTCGTCACAAGACTCAAACCCATCTTCCTCGTGCTCTTAAACAGGTAGATGGTCTTCTATATTAAAATCTTAGAACCTTAAAATATTATTTAAATCACTTACAGTGATTAACTTCCAACTATTATTACTAATCATGCTCCTATTCTTTTTCATCTTCTACTTATATCTGCAAATCTTTCCTTTTAATCTAACTTTCTTACTGACTCTGATTTTATTGCTGCTACATTTGTTATTGATATTAATTATGCATCTACTCAGAGTGTTTTCTCTCATCCTCTCTTTATCTTCTTCTTTGTATCTCAGATTGCTTTCTTTGCTAAACTTTCTCCTAATTTTCCTTATAGTGATATATCTCTTTATCCATCAGTCTTGTCTCTATTCTGTTTATTTTCTGTTCCATTCTTTCCTATTTCTCCATAGCCTTTTCTATTAACTCATTGTGCTAGTTCAATTATTGACTGAATTCGAGAATAAGTTCTTTTTGCTGTTCACCAACTTTCTTGACTAATTTGGATAGCTAAGCTATCATATCTCCTTTTAACTATACTATCTAAGACATTTTATGCAGCAATGTATTTATTATTCTCTTTTGATAATTATTTTTACTTTGAAACTATTCTGTATAGGCGGGGTTTTGGGGTTTTGGGGTTTTGGGG